CACCCCCTATTGTATGCAGCCTTATTTTATGTTAAATGTCTGTTTGTAAAATAGTGATATCAATGAGAAAAACATATTATTCAGAGTAAATCAACTATACTTTCACAAATACATGTAAATATCAACAAATGAAATTTCTATGACTCACCTGCCAAGGAATCAAGCAGTTGCAATACCTTTGTTGTCATAATTTTTGAATGCATTGTTTCAAAAGTAATGGCAGTGTCTTTAAAATAGATATAATTGTTTTAATAATGCTATTAAATGGTGTGAATAGTTGGGCATTAGGAAAGGCTGAGTGCATAATGGTTAATAGCATGCTCTGACATCAAAGTGCCCAGGTTCAAAACACAGCTATTACCTCAAACTGAATCTACTTGGGCTTGTTAAGAGAAGGAAATATAAAAATACCTGGGGTTTTTCAAGTAAATAGCAATGTGTTAAACACATAAAATTACTAAACAACTGGACATTCATGAACCAGAGGCCATGGTTTTTATTCTCTTCAGACAAATGGCCAGCTTTTCCCCAGTTTCAGGCAGTTCTGTTTAAGTAAATGTATGAAGAGGTTGGCCAATGTTATCAGGATGCTCTAGAAATTTACCAAATTTGTAGAAAATTTCGGTCTCTATAAAAGAAATACTTGATCCTAACAGGAAAATCAACTTAGGAAGTGTCCTAAAGGAAAGGCCAAGTAATGTAAGTGTTTTGATTAATACGAACAACCATCTCCATCAAGCCTGGCAAGCATAGAGTAAATGATAACAAGAGGAAGCACCTGTTTAAAAATGAGATTTAAGACCCGAGTCACAGCAGTTAGAAAAACGCCTATTGCTCCTAATCATTATGAGTTGATCTTCCAATACGAATTCTACATTTTGTAAAGGCAATTTTTGAAAGCGAACCTTATGATGCAAAGATACAACCAGAGAGCATCAACCTCTGGGACAAATTCAATATCTGATTCTCAACAGAGAGATCCAATGTTACAAAATGAATGTTGAACCATTCCTTTCCAGTAGGAACACTGGTTTTTAACAACACTATTAGAATAAGAGTGGCTCAAATTTGAGGCTTCCAAGCAGGTTAATTAATTATATAACCATCTGGCATTAATGAAAACATCCACTCTTTGCTCGCTCCCTAGTGAGCTGACCCTATGTTTCCCAAGATCCAGCTGGAAAAGGAGGGGGGTGAGCTACAGCCAAGAGGCCAGCTCAGTCAAAGAATTTGAAGACTTTGTTTTCATATGAATTTCTCTTAAAGACACATTTCATCCTACCTGAAGAAAAGAATAACTGGGCCATTAAATCCATAAAATAAACTTTAGCAACACAGAAATGTTGTAATTCCCTTTTTAAAGAAAGAATAAACACAAAGTGCTGGCAAGGGGAATGGGACTTTGGGGAAGAAACAGGATTTGCACAATGTCATAAAATATTCTACAAAAAAATTCAAAGCAAACATTCCCTTGGAATCAAATTGGAAGGAGCAAGAATATTCTTTTGCTAGTCAATGGGAATAGAGAAATAGACAAGGGGATAGCCATGTGCCACTGACCTTCCTTGATACAGTGTATGAAATAGAATGCTATGAGAGTTTGGGCACAGTGCAAACACTTTAACATTGGCAAGCATCTTACAGAAGATTCTTACTTGCCCTTTAAAACCAAAGAGAAATAGACACAAAGTTTTATCATTTGGCAGATTCAGTACAGGACAGGGATGTGGACATTTTCTAGTCAAAGCCCAGAAGTTGGAGACATAAAAGAAGTATAGTTAGCCTTTCAGAAGCCTGCTGCAGGAGACGGGATTCTTGACTGGACTGTCAGAGAGGTACACACATTCAGAGCAGGGTGGTCAGCCACCATCTTTGACCTAGGTACCCTCAGCTTGAGTAGGGCATCAGTGCTTTGAAATGCACTCAGAATCAGGAGGTAAAAGATTTGGTTACAATCCAGTATGTACTCTGCTTCTTCTCAGAGAGAGATTACGTTTTCAGTGAGGCTAAATTCAACCCATAACTTTTCCTGTTCCAGCTATCTTCTGGGTCACCATAACTTTTAAATTTTTAGTCTGAATCAGGCAGAACAGGTTTGAAATCTCCACAAAGTCTTAAAGACACAGGAGCTGATCTCATCTGTGACCTGGGTAGTTCTATTCCTCAATCTGTCTATATTAAATATCTATATGTAAGTTGGAACAGTTAGGTACAGATCATGTTTTAACCTCAGCCAGTAAAATTTTTTTTCTAAAGGTACATTTCTTTACAACGTTTAACACTATTAACATAGTAATAAACCAAAAATAATAATGTTTTGATATAGATCACAAAGTTTTGCCTATTTATTATGAACCATGCCATGGACTTCAAATTTTTATATAATAGGCTTCAGAGATGCACATGCAAGTGGACATTACTGTGGTAGTTAAACAATTTCATGTCACCTTGATAAATAAGAATGAAGGGGTGGAATCTAGCCTGTCAATCACATCAGTCTAGTGATCCCATGAGGGTGTGGTCTTCTCATGAGGATTCTGGGACTTCCTATCTTCCTCCCTGGCGGTAAGACACACTATCTCTCTGCTTCACCTTCCTGTTGACAAGCTACCTGGAGCCACACTCATGGCTGGCAGAGCCTTAGAGATGTGTCCATTGCCTTTGGACACATGGGACTTTCCACCCACCGGCCTGTGATCTTGCTGCATTCATGTGCTGCGTGAATCTGAGAAGTTATTCATGAGCTAATATCGGACTTATGGGCTAATATCGGACTCATGGACTTGATATGGACAGGGATGGGTTGTATTGATGCATAATTACTTCTTGATATACTGTTCTCTCATATATATGTATATGTACATATGGATTTATTTTTCTAGTCAACCTGGACAAACATAATTACTCTAATATTGGGTCTGGAATTTTAATCAAGAAATGGTCACTAAGGAATGATTTAAGCCATGGGAGAGAGGGAGGTAGGGGAAAGGAATTGGGTATTAACAAACCCAGGGACAAGGGAACAGTAAGTGATCTAAAATTGATGGTGAGGAGGGTGTAGGAGGCCTGGTAGGGCTTGATCAAGGGCAATGTAACTGAGAAGAATTACTGAAAC